ATCTCCTTTGTTGACCAGATAAAGGCTGTGGATGTGTCTGCCTGAACTTCAGCAAAGCCTTTTGACTCCATCTCCCACAGCATCCTCCAGGAAAAGCTGGCAGCCCATGGCCTGGACAGGAGCACTCTTTGCTGGGTTAAGGACTGGCTGGATGGTCAAGCCCAGAGAGTGGTGGTGAATGGTGCTGCATCCACTGGGGGCCAAAATGATATCCTCCAGGGATCAGTGTTGTGCCCAGTCCTGTTTTATTGATGATCTGGATGAGGGAGTTGAGTCCACCATCAGCAAATTTGCAGGGGACACAAAGCTGTAGGAGAGTGTGGAAGGGTAGGAGTGCTCTGCAGAGGGGCCTCGACAGGCTGGATAGGCTGACTCCAATGATGGATGGTGTCCTGGGTCCTGCACTTGGGCCACAACACCCCCCTGCAGTGCTACAGGCTGGGACAGGATGGCTGGACAGTGGCCAGGCAGAAAGGGATGTGGGGGTGCTGGTTGGCAGCTGACTGAACATGAGACAGCAGTGTGTCCAGGTGGCCAAGAAGGCCAATGGCACCTGGCCTGTACCAGGAACAGTGTGGCCAGCAGGACCAGGGAAGTCATTCTTCTCCTGTATACTTGGCACTGGTGAGACTCCACCTTAAATACTGTGTCCACTTCTGGGCTCCCAGTTTAGGAAGGATGTTGAGATGCTGGAGTGTGTCCAGAAAGGGGCAACAAAGCTGGTGGAGGGTAACATAAGTCCATGAGGAATGTCTGAGGAATTAGTTTGTTTAGCCTAAAGAAGAGGAGGATCTACATCACTCTCTACAACTTCCTGAAAGCAGGCTGTAGTCAAGTGAGGGTCAGTTTCTTCTCCCAGGCAATAGGACAAGAGGGCACAGCCTTAAGCTGCTCCAGGTGAGATTTAGGCTGGACATTAAGAGGAATTTCTGCACAGAAAGGGTGATTAAACATTGAAAAGGAGAGGGTAGAGTCACAGTTCCTGGAAGTGTTTAAGAAAAGACTGGATGTGGCACTCAGTGCCATGGTCTGGTTGACACATTATTGTCTGGTCACAATTATCTCGATTATCTCAAAGGTCTTTTCCATCCTAGTTGATTCTGTGATTTTTCCCTGCTGCCAGGCAGTAATGTTTGGCCTTCTGAAATGCTTTTACTTAATCTGTGTATACACTCCATTTGGAAGACCATATCTAATGGGAAAAAGTTCCAACAACCAGGCAATAGATTTGTTTTCCTTTGCCTTTAAATGAAATATCAATGGATGGATATTTTATTTTTAGCTGAATATGAAATTTCACAAGCGACCTGTCAAGCTCCTGTTTTCAAGAATGACTTTATTTCACACGTCAAGACAGCCTGGGAAATTAGTTTTTCTCACAGAGGACTCTGATTAGGGATTACAAAGTGAGTGAGGCGCAGAGTGATTTTTCCTCCATCTTTTCCCTCGCCCCACCAACCTAGAGAGTGCCTGACTCTGCTGACTAAGGGGAGCAATTCATTACGATGCATGGGAGGGGGATGGGAAGAAAGATGGCCATATTAAGTAGACTGGCCCAAGAGAGAATAGGATAAGCATAACAATACTTAGCCCTTATCATTCTTTTCATCAGTAGATATAAAAGCCCTTGAAAAAGGAGGTTGATTTGAGGGGAAAAGAGATAAATTCCAATTGCAAGCAGCCCATTGCAGAGGCACCAGCAGGAAGGCTCACTTTCATGATAGTATCTTCTGACTGTGGGTCTGCAGGGTAGAGAAACGAACAGGGCCTTTCCTCTGAAAAATGCAGAAGTACATTTCAAACGTTACTGACTTACCCAGTGTAACTCTCATGGGATTTGCAAAATATGAGGTCCAGTCCAAGAACTAGAGAGAGCAAGGAGACTATGTATTACTAGTAAATGATAGAGCAGACAGAACCTATTGCCTTTGCCAGCAGACAACAGCTGATTTACACCATGGTTTAACTCCTCACAGAAGCAATAAACAGTCCAGATGAAGGGCTGTGGCATTTTTACCCTATGGAAAACCTGGCCCATTCTGGGCTATTTCTATTGTTATCCAGTGGATTAGTAGAAGTCACTGGAGTAGAAAGCAGCCCTGTTCTGCTGTATGTGAACAGCAATATTTGGCACCACTGTAAAAAGTCCCACACTGGCTGATCTGATACAGTTTACTGCCTGATTTCCTTTGGGCCACATGAAAGAGCTGCACCTGAGGATCCACAAACTGAACGCATCAATCCCAAGGTCAGTCTTCATATTCAAGAGCAATGCAGCATCTCTACTGGCTGCACACCTTTAACTGCTTACATGCACAACTCATTGCAGAGAACTCTTAGAAAAACCTCTTCTTTTTCTCTTCTTTCTTTGTAGTGTGTGGTCTAGCTTGAATCTATTTGCCAATGGCCTTTCTGCCCTGTGCATAAGATAGCAATGTTCAAAGAGGCCTGAAGTCCTGCTGCAACAGGCAACCCAGAAAAACATCTCTCAGGAGGCAAGATGAGATCCCATTGGGTCAAACAGCTGCTGTGCAGTCACTGTGACTCACATCAGAAGGGAAGAACACTCCAGGGGCAAGCACTTCATGTGGAAGTTACCCATGTTTTCATGATGCCATCTACAATAATAGCTTGGTTTTCAACAGTGTGAGGCATCAACAAATGCCTGAGGCAGTTGCCTGGCCCTAAGACTTCCAGGGCAAATAGAGATCAAGAGAAAAGGAGAAGGAAGAAGACAGCAACTTATTTACACCTCTCTGTCATGCTAACATGAGCAGGTCACATCTTCAAAACCCCTTCTGCAGCAATGAATACACTCTCACTCAGTTTCAAAATCCTCCATCCTGCATTGTGCCCATCATGATGCAGGCTCTGCTCTGCAAATCACAACAGCAGCTCTGAACAGCCCAATCTGCTGTGGACCAGTGCCTCCCTCCAATACAGCTGCAAATAGGTTTAAATCATTAGATGCAAGTTACCAAACAGTCTCTTGGATCAGGGTTAATTAAATGAGTGTTGAAATCTAATTAAGAACTGGTCCAGGTGATAATTAGCAGGAAATGTATGCATTAAAATATTCATTTGTCGATGAGCTGCAATTAAGTGTGTGATTTGGGGAAGGATCAATATCTGCATCATGTGATCTGAAGAAAAATTAAAAGTCACCCAGCCTTCAACAGAAATGCAGGGGAATTTTGACTACAGGTTTTTTTTCTCTCTTCTCCTCCACTCCCCCTTCTGTTTAAGTTTTTTAATAACTGCTGAAGATTGCTCTCCATCTTTGAATGGAGCATTCATCTCTGCATTTCTTTGTTTTCCTGAAGCACTTCTTTCAAAACCTTGCTCTTCATCACATTGTGTGAGTGGGTTATAGATTTATTAGAGAGAGACTAACAGGTCAAAAAGAAAGATTCTTTGCCAATGGAAATCACTTTCTCCCAGTACAGATTGCTAATCCAGGGGAACATCACTCATTGTGTGGTGTTAGATTGTAGGGGTCTTTTTTTAGCAGGTTAATTCCTCAAGTCTTTATTCATAACTGAGGATCTGAAGAGGCTATTGAATATGTATAGCTTAGACTTATATATATGTATGTCTATAGCTGTGGTTTACTACATTCTTCCCAATTTGTAGCAGAGCAATTCTGCTTTCACTGAGACTATTTTTTTCCGATTACAGGTACACAGGGGTGTGTGTAAGCCAGTTATTAATAGTTTTCTTGTGCAATTCCAGAAAATTCCCCCTTTGCTAGGAAAACAAGGGTCCTGCAACAGTTCAGCTCCTCTGGCATGAAGCTGATCTTCCTCTACTGCCACAGCCAGAAACTGAGCTGGTCATTTTCCCAATGACGTACTTTGACCAGTGAACACCAGTTTGTCAAAACAAAAGCTGTGGGAGCACAATTATTTCAGCTGTTTGCTGTCAGTGTCCTGACAGCTCACCTGCCCATCTCCCCAGGCTAGGTGACAGCCCAGCTCCCAGGGCAACTTCCACTGCTGTCAGGGCTGCAGGGATTGCCCTCCCCTACACCTCCTCCTTCCCTGGGGAGGCTGCCTGTGGGGAAGTAACCAATCCATGAAGTTAGGACTTCCTTGGAGAAAGACAAAAACATACCTTCCTAGGTAGATCTTTTTCTTCTCATTTCTGCCCCCTATCAGAAATTTAAGGATTGCAGCTATTGATCCTTCATCTGATTTTGGGAAGGAGAGGGATTTCTTTCATTCCCAAAAGCACTACATTTTTCACAGATTTCTGCAGGCAGCTCTGATGATTATCTGTAGTTCTGTGCTGGTGTTGACTGCAGACATAATCTTAATATTGTAAATCTTTCCTGGAAATGTGTGGGCTCTTTCATGTTAGCCTCTATTTCCTACTGTTTGTAGAGTGAGAGCTCAGGTCCGTCCAGTACTATTTTTGCTCCCTTAATCTGGCAGTGCTGAAGAGATTCTCTTTCATGATGACACAAACACCCTGCTCAGCATACTGACTCCTGTCTCCAGGCTGGGCAGAGATTTCTCACTGGACTTGGGGCTTACAAGACACAACATTGAATGGGTGATCCACTTCAGGAGTCTGGAATGCAGAGACCTCACCCATTCCAACAAAACAAATCAGTCTACAAATCCTACCACATTCATGCAGCAAACCTTCCTACCTTTTGCTGCGCTGTGTCCAGACCTTTGTCCTCTGATTCAGCATTCTGGGCCTGAAGGTTGAAAGAATAAGGCAACAACTTTTGCAGAGAAAATGTAAATGACATCCTAGAAGCTTGAATTTTGGAAACTAGGAACCAGGCTGCTAGCATTCACCCTCCAGGGTTCTTTACTTCCTGATGCTCTCACCCTCTTGCAAAAGTCAAAATTCACAGCCTGATAGGTTGCATGGAAAATATCAGCACCTGGATTCCATTCTACTAAATCTGTGTTAGATGTATGAATTGATGAGCTGGTGCGCATCAGGCTCATTCCCTGTGTGTCTCCTTTTTGTTTCCTGCCCTGCAGGGAGCCTCTTCAAGCCTGGTGGTGAAGTTTGCGGACACGGACAAGGAGCGTACAATGAGGCGCATGCAGCAAATGGCTGGACAAATGGGCATGTTCAACCCCATGGCCATCCAGTTTGGAGCCTATGGAGCCTATGCACAGGCAGTAAGTATAGACAGCAGCTCTCTGCACGTTCATGGGAGGGGGAGTGTCATGTGAAATGCACAAACTCATGGGAGTGGACAAAAAACCTGCGCAGAAGAGGAATCGGTGGCTTATCTATTGAACTGGTTACATGATGGGAATAAAAATTAGCCATGCTGTCCAGGGTAGGCTCTGGGAATCTCCCAGGTGTCTCCAAGGTGCCATAGACAGTTCTAGCAGTAACTTTTGGACCCATGTGTAGACCCATGCAAAACACTTACCACAGGGCAAAGCCACTGTTTTGGAATGAAAGCACAGCTACACTTTGAGGATCTGGATAAAATAAGGCTGCTCAGTTTATCCCAGTTCCCTTCCTCACATCACCCCCACCCTGCTGCACCTTGCATCACCATGGGTACCTTCAGAGTGACCACAGGACAAAACAGCAGCTGTTGAGAGAAATACTTTTAGACTCACAAAGCATGGTAGATAGTAATAAAATGTACACACAGACATATGCCCATACACAGACCTGCTGCCCCAAACAGTATGATTGAAACACACTGGGAAAAAATCCTCTTGTGCTAACTTCAGGTTTCCTGTGGACATACCAAACCTGAGAAGATGTGACCGTACAAGGCGCTGGGCTCTTGATGATGTTATGAAATGGATGCCTCTGAAATTACTTGTTTTCCTTAGGCTAAAACTAAAAAGGATCTGCAAGACAAGACCAGGCTCAGGTAACTTGGACTCTCTGATGGATATTTTGGAGGAAGGTAGAGGCAATGCCTGCAGCAGGCAGACACAATACTTCCCAGTGACTTTGGCTGCTTTTTCTGAAGCAGATTTTCAGGCAGCGACAGTGTGTATATTTTGCCATCTATTTGATGGCATAATGTGGCCCCCTGCATGATTTGTGCCCAGGAGGGAAGTGCTGTTGTACACATAGTCCAGAGCAGCATCTTCCTGAATGGGAGACCCAAACCTTGCCCTAGGTATACAAGGCCAGCTCAGGAATAACACTGGTGTGCCAGCACTCCTTCCAGAGCAATGGCCGCAAGGTTTTCCTTTCTTCCTTGACTCTTTCTTTCTCATGTGTTGGCACCAAGTATTTCCCATCACATCACCATGTTCTCTTTTTAATTTGACGGTCCTGACATTTCTGTTCCTCTCTGAAAGCCTTGTGCCTCGCTGAACACTTGGTACAACCCAGCCTACCCCTTGTGTGAGCCATGCAGAGTTGTGAGAATGTGCTGCAGAGCTCCACTGAAGTTCTTCCTGTCCTTCCAGCTGCACCTCTTGGTGCACTTCTGGAGTTTTTATTCTCTATCTTCTAGAAAAAAATCTATTTTTACTTCTATTTTGCTATCTTCATTTTTATTCCTAGTCAAAGTCAGTCTCTATATCTTCCTTTGTCCTCTGCTCCCTTCCTCACATTATAAAAGAGCTATTTCCTCTTCAGCCTGGCTGTGCTTAACACTCCCCCTGGCCAGAGAAGGCTGCAGGGAGAGGAAAAGAGACAGCAAATCCCAAATGAGCCTAGGTCAGTGGTCAGCAGACTGTCAGAGGGATGTAGCACCTTTTCCCCCATGTACCAGAGGAATTAACAGGAGGCAATCCACAGACAGCTTGGGACAAACAAACATTTGCTGAGGTTGTCAGGCAGAAGTGGCTTCAGTTTCACTCTACAGACATTGGTCAGGCAGCTGGAGAGATAGCAAAGACACCACTGTCCTGATGTTCTGGTCCAAAAACTCTTCTTGGATTATTTTAAACTAGAGTAACTCTTCTAATTTCCAGACAAGGTTTATACTGATATGAGAGGATGAAGTCTGCACCTTTACATCACAGAATTTTTCTCTGTTTCTTACCAGATAGTACAGGCGCATTATGAGGGGAGGTGAGGAATCAGGGAGGAAGAAAGAGGAAAAACAATTTCTGGTCTTCTCCCATCCGCTTGAAACAAATGGATATTTTTCATTTTGCTTTCTGTGAAAGCAGAATTGGACCCATACTCTTTTTTTTATTATTATTTTTCTGATAAAAATGCTAATAAGGGGGAAAAAAATAAGTTTTAGATCTTGACCCATTGGATATGACAAGCTGGTGACACCAATTACCCTGGGGACTTGGGAGCTGTCTAAATGATGGGATCACATTTCTGTGTGGCGCCCGTAGACCCAGAGCGTGCTCAGATGCTGTCTCTCAATCAGCCTCCCTATCTGCTCCATCTCACAGGCTCACATGAAAGGGAAGGAAGGGAGCGTCGTGGCTCTGTGACGTTGCCGTGGTCCCGATTAATCCAGCTCGGACTGCTGGCTCTCAGATATCAGGGTGATTGGCACCTCGCAAATGCCAGCAGGAGATGGAGGAATCGATAGGGGAGAGGGAAAGGGAGACAGCAGTTTTGCTCAGCCTGGAGTCAAAGAGCTAAGACAAGTCAAGAGGAGGGAAGCTGAAATATCAGGAGCACGACTGTCATGACTGGTGATGCCACTGCCACCAGCAACTCTTGTGACATTGGTTGAATTGTTTGACCCTCGATCTTGTTTCCTCATGTACAAATAAACCTGATGATCAGATTTATTTATTTTCTCTTCTCCCTCAGGGGCGCGGCTCTCTCTTGTACTGTCTCTCCATGAGCTTTCTCAGAGGGTTATGACAGTAACAAAAGTGTAAGAATTGCCTCAGCTCTTAATAGTAAGGCCAGCACAAGCATGAGACATCAGGTTCTCTGATTCGTAGCCTGTCCTCCCAACTATCCCCCAGCAGTCCAAACCTGACTGATGTCTCTATAAATTCCCAAGCAATCCCGTGACAGTAGTTTTTCAATGGTTTCTAATGGTCTGTCCCCATGGGGGAGGTTGCTCAGGACCCTGTTGGTGCAGTTTCTTGCTGAATTTCCCCCAGAGAAGCATCTTGCATGTCACTGTGACTGGATTAGCTCCCAGCAATTCTTGATGCACCAAGATGGTCAGTGCAGGAACTCCCATGGTTGATAGATTGGTGGGCAGCCATGGGTTTGCCAACCCAGCAGCACCTCTGAGGAGAGGCAGCAAGGGTCTCAGTCCATCCAAGTTTGACAGATAAACTTTAGTGTTGCCATCAGGACAGATCTGGGCCCCAGCTCCTCCCCAGGTTACCTCCCTTACATCCCAGAAAATGGCCATGCCACAGCTCCCTGCTGTTGTACACTGCCAACCCCCTCAGCCTCAACTTAAACAACTTTAACCTTGATAACAGCCATGGTCTCAGCCAAGCAACCAGTCCTGGGGTTCAGCAGCCATCTGGCCTCAGAAAATGAGGCAAAAAAATGAGGAAACAAAGGGAGTTCTCCACGGTGTGTGTTTTTCTATCCCCTCCTCATGTGCCACCTTCAAGCAGACCAGACAAAGCTTGGCACCAACTCTGTCTGCTGTTTCAGTGGCAGAGAAAGTCACATCAGACCTACCTCCCCTCTTTTGTATGCAGCTCAAGGCAAGTCAGATTTCATAGCTTCCTAAAGCTCCCAGAGCCCCTACTCTAATTTATTTCAGGGTGGGTTTTTTGATTGTTTTAGGTTTTTTCTCTTCAGCAATATCTTCCCATACTCATTTAACTTCCCCTTTTATGGAGCAATTATTTATTTTATTTCACAAGTGTACGGAGCACCAGCCCTTTTCATTGTCAGGTTTCTGTGGATTTACATCAGCTGGGTACTGACAGCTGCCTCTGCAGTCTAAGGCCAGGTTGAGGTATAGATCTGGACTCAGCCTGGAGAGAAGGAGAGTGATGCTACCTGGCACCACCTTTGATTTGCTGCCAGCCTAGGAAGAACCTGCAGGCATACTCTCCACTTCACAGAGCACAGCACACCCACTTAGGGTGGCCAAGCCCAAAATCACAAGCAGTGACAATCAAAACAGTCTGTGAATGGTAGTACAGTCCTGGCACAAATAAGCTACATTTCCTACAGGTCTTTCTTTGAATAAAAGGGGCAAGGAGTGTTTAGTGCTTGTCTCATGTCAGTGATGCCTCACCACGCAGAAAGGAAATGTGCACAGATCAAAAAAGGGTGAGGGAGATGGGAAAATGCAGAAGAGCAAAGCAAGAACAAAGGAAAGAGCCTTGGAAAGTGACAGATACAGTATAAATTATTTAATTTTTAAATTATTTAAGATAAGATCAAAGTCATAAATCAAGTTTGCATAAAAAATGGGGTGGGACTGTTAGCCACAGTCTTCTGGCCAAACTCCAGCCATGGGACTGATTGCATCCTGCAGCAGGGGATAGGCATAGAGTTAGTGTGTGAAAACAGACAGGCTGGGACAGAGACAGCACAGGCAATGCTAACATTTGTTCTCTGGCCTGGAACAAGTCCTTTCTCAGTAAATCCCAGCTCTCCTCACTCTGAAAAGGTACAAATGGCTGCTGTTCCTGAACTGCAGACAATAACTGCAGCAAAAATTTGGAATATCCAGCGCAGCGGAGCTCTCAGACATCACCTTAAGTGGTCTCCTTGGGAAGTTAGGGCAGCAGTTGCTACCATGCTGACCATAAAACCCTGGGTGCCCCGTTCTGCCTCCCTGTCCAGCTCCCATGGAGATGAAAGGATATTTCTGCTAAATGATCTGAGGGAGTGCTGACAGGAAGAACTGCTTTTTCCAATATTTCTTCAATTTGGACTGTGAAATTATTTTGGAAAGATACTTTTTAAAAAATCAGCTAGCCCTATGAAATCAGGGAAAAATTACTGACTATAGGCTGCCTTCTGGATATAATAGTTAATATATTTAAATTACCAAAATGGGACAGTATATTTGGTAAATATTACCTGTTATGCAAATTATTTGCACTGATCAGTTCCAGAAGAGGAAGCTATTTTGAAGCCATAATACTTTTTAGCAGGGATAATACCATATTTCTGACCACTGTCTCCCAGGTAATTCTGAAATAATGAACACTAAGATTTGGGCTCTACACAGGAAATTTTTAGGTCTTTTGGGGGATTTTCCACAGTTCTCAGGAAGTTAGAAACCCCAGGTGTTGTGTGTCATATCTTGGAAAGACACTAAGACATGAATCCAGGTGTTGCATATTTGTTTAGTGTTTTTTAATACCCTAATTATATTTAAATTTTATTTTCAAAGCAGAAATTTCTATTTCCAAGAAAATATAAGTATGAAGGACAATTCTGATTTTTCTACCAATTATCTTCTGTTTGTTTCAAGGCTTGGAAAGAATTTTTTGATTTAACTCCCAATAGCCAGTTAGGTATAGCAGGCATGAAGTTGTCAATTACACAGTTTTACCAAATATGAGCTGTATTACAGCCTGAATGATTATTTTGCTTACCTCTTTGCACAGGGATAGCATGAGGTTTCATTAGCTAAGTCTGTATAGATCATTAGAGGTGGGAAGTGTGGGATGCTGTTACTACTTTTATTATTATTATTATTATTATTATTATTATTATTATTATTATTATTGCTGCTGCTGAATGAAGAATATGAACAGTCAGACAGCATTGTGTGGTTCAGACACAAAGATGGAAAATAGCACTGGGAAAAAAAAAGGAGAAGGTCATCACATTGTTCAGAGTAAGACTGGAGGGCAATGATCATGCTATTTCAGAAAGAGCTCATCAGAAATAATCCCCCTGTCTCCTCTTCCCCTTCTTCAGTTTCACACTCATTTCTTCTGGGGGATGGGGAAGGCAGGCTGTGCATGCTTTTCCTATTTCTAGCAGGATTTTGTGCTCTGAGAAAGTTCCTTCATCCTCCATGCAATTGATCCTCCTGTAAGAAAAAGACATTATCTCCCGCCCTTGAGTACCATTGCAACTTACGGTAGGAAAAAGACGTGTGAGACAAACCCTTACACATGTCTATACTGACCAGACAGCACTGCCACCCCTTCCCATGCTTTAGATAGCTTTTCCGGTGCCTCTCCACCTGTTTCCAGCACTGGGATGGTGACTGCAGGCTCCTGTCTCTTGGGGTGCTGCCCAAGGGCAGGAACCAGTCTGGTAGCATCTACTGGTCTCCTCAGAAGATAAATATTTGAGCAATAGAAAAGACAGCAGGAAAGAAGGAACGAATCCTTAAAATGGATGGGGAAAAGCTCTAAATGCTGAGGCAAAGGTCATGCAAGGGAAGTAAGAGAAGAAGAAGGAAGTACGTCCTTTCAGCTAAGGGAGGGAAAAGCTCCTCTCTGTCCCCTTGGATCAGTCTGAGATAATAAGGCTGCTGCCTTCCTGATTAGTGCTGTAGCCCCAGCCCAGGCAGGGAAAATCTGCATTTCAAATGGCATATTTTAAAGTACACAATACCCAGGGGCCCTACTGCTATTGATTTGCCTCTGGTGGGGTCACTGCCTCACTTTCTACAGCTTTATTAACTGGGACCATACACTGGGTCTCTTTCAAAGTGAAAGGAGAGTGGATGGGACATTTGTCTTCAGGGGGAGCTGGGGAAGGAGTGGGGTGACTTTCATTGGGAATGCCTTGGAGGTTTTAGAAGGAAGACTGGTGACCCTTACAGGACTTGTTCTCCTGTAAATTTCCCTAGAGCCACCCTGGGGGGGAAGCAGGTAGGTCTTATGCAGTCAGCTTCTTTCAAGGTGACTGAATTCCTGTCCTCCAGCCCTCGTGGTGCCATTGCACTCAGCCAAGCTCTGACCATCAACCACTGGGCTGGGTACGAGCCCCCTCTTCTTCCCCCCTAACCTTCAAACAGAGCGGCACAGGCACCAATTGGATCTGTGACCTCAGAAGTTTGGCAGGAAATTTGTCAAGGGTTGAAACATCCAGACATTCCTGGGCCTTGGCTGAGGCCACCTCTCCAGCCAAGGAAGCAAAGCCATCAGTTGGGGTACACAACTGTGTTCAGATGTGGTATGCTCTACTCCTTCCAGCTGCAGGCAGCCCCACTTTTACCCTATTGACTAGGTCTGAAGGCTGCAGAGAGGACTGTGTTCTCTGGGTCATGATGTAAAGGGCTCATTTCAACAAGCCAGAGGGGTTCCCAAGTCTCTAAGACATCTCAGAGAGTACATCCACAGAGCACTGAGTACAGTAGATATTGGGTGACTGTTCTCTGCAGGAGTGCCTCTGCTTTGTAGCAGAAGCACCTGATCTAGTTTCCCATATCACAGGCTAAGACTTCATTTTTGGTGCATCAAAGTGAAAAGGGGTAAGAAAGTGCTAGAGGCTATAAAACTATTTATTAAAAATCTACAAAACTACAAATATATGAGAAATCTATTTTAAAAACAAGAACAAATCTCTAGGTATCAATCAGGTAAAAATACCCAAACCAGAAAATGAGATGTGAGTCAGCACACCTAATGCTGGAGTCAATCCAGTGTTAAAGAAGGGTGGATGGATTTCCCTTCCTCCTTTACTTCCTTGGCATACTTTCTAGTATTGCCTGCTCAGTACCTCCTCTAGAGAATAAACTCAAATGATGCCCAGGAACAAATGTACTCATTAAAGGAAGATCAGCATAGTGTATAATACAAAAGTCTGTCTAATCACTCCATCAGTAATTGCAAAGAGCAAAATATCACTAATTAAAATGTCAAAGTACATTGTGCAGGGTAAAATAAAACAGGGTGGTTAACCATCAAAGGGAAAGCCACCACTTTGCCACCACACTTTATTAGGCTTCAAAAAATAATAAGACTCAAATCCAGTAGAATTCTTTTCGCCTGTAGATCAGACAATGTGTGAAGTCAGGTATCCTGTGTTATATTTTATTGCTGGAGAAGTCAAAGCAAGTTTTCATAACATGTGCATAGTTATTCAGCAGGTTGTTGTCAGAGCACCCCTTACTTTGGACGGTTTATGGATGGTGACAGGGAAAGTTTCAGCACTTGAATGAGTGCAGTGCTCTCAAGGGTTTGTTTTAGTGTACATGTGTAAGAACAATTAATTTAGCTGATGCTTCAATATTAAAATGAGCAGAAGGGAACAGTCTGTTCATTGCCATGACTTCTGAGGTCTGTTTAATTCTGAGAAGCATGTCCCATGTGCTTAAAGAACAGCATCAGAGGGTGATTTCCTGATGGGAGAGAGAGTGAAATCAGAGAGAGAAGTGAAACAGAGTCACTCCAATTTTGGAGACAGCAAAGATATGAATCACTTCTAAAATCACCACAGAAAAACAATTCTCTTTTCCACTATTATCATCAAGTCACAGATTACCAGGGACTGGGGAATGTACAGAGTGAGGTTTCCCAAACTTTCTGCATGTCTTTTTTCCCCCCACACCTTCTCTAAGCATTCAGAATTTGTCACTGCTGAGGGTTGGATACTCAGACATTCCCACCCTGTCTGGCTCTTTGTACAGCACCAGGGAAGGAAACAAGAATCAGCTTCAACCAAACTGTCTTATCCTTCGCACCAGGACCATTTTAAAATCTCTCTCCTGTACACAGGAGCTGCATCAGCTGTGTGCTGGGCTCTGAGTGTAACATAAGGATTGCAAAGACTTGTAATGAAAAAAGCATTCCCAGGATTCATAAACATTCACCAACATTCTACTCCAAAATTTTTAGCCCCAAATGCCTGAAAATGCAGCCTGGTTTCCTTACTTCTTACTTTTGTAGGTGCCCTGAAAGAAGCAGCATTTTGACTTTCTAGAAAAAATTAACTGAGAAGGTCAACCCAGATCAAAACCACAGGGAAGGGGTTTTCTCATTAGACAAATCTAATCTTGCTAAAGCAAGGGAGCTCCCTTCTCTTGTACAGCACTTCTGGGCATCTCTGATAGTGTTGGAAATCAGTGCTATGATCTGGTCAGAAGTTTTGGTCGTGGTTTTGCTCACTACCCTGCTGAAATCTCCTAGCAGCACCAGAAAAAGTAATTTTTGTCACTGACAAGTGGAGAAAAAACAGATTATCCCTAGAAAACTAGTAAAAATTTCTGCTTTGGAGAAAGAATCCCTTTTTCCTGGTCTCCTATCAGTAATCTCCGGGTTTTTCCAGAATTTTGATATAAGCAACATAAGCCACGAAACCGCTCTGCTCAGGTATATTGTGTTTTGTCTGTATGAAGACTCTTCTCTGCCTTTCTGACGGGAGAAGTACCAAGCAGCTGGTGGGCCGAGTCCAGGTCACAGGAGCCCTCCACCCTCAGGAGCACATGGCGGGGTGGGGACCATATTGACCCCAATTTGCACAGGTGCCCTTTGCTTCCAGCGAGAAGAACGACCAAGCCTGGGGGGTACCATAGGGCTGGTGTGCTGTCACCCCAAAACATCGGGGCGCATCCCACCCTCACCGGGGGCCCTCCTGCTGCCAGTGCCACAGGCTGCCCCGCCAGTGACCGCGTGATATTTTTTCCCTGCTCTCTTTGTTCCAGCTGATGCAGCAGCAAGCGGCGATCATGGCCTCGGTGGCGCAGGGCGGATACCTGAACCCCATGGCCGCCTTCGCCGCGGCCCAGATGCAGCAGATGGCGGCTCTGAACATGAACGGCCTGGCAGCCGCCCCCATGACTCCAACCTCAGGTATGGGGACAGCGGGCTGGAGGGGGCAAAGGGCAGGGAAACTGGGCCACATCCCACAGGACACCTGGCAGGATTTGTTAGCGCTTTAGACAGGGGAGGATCAGGCTCTCCTTCCAGGGGACAAGTGACAGGACCAGAGGAAAGGGTCTCAAGTGGCACCAGGGGAGGTTTAGATTGGATATTAGAAAGTTTCTTACTCAAAATGGTTGTCAAACATTGTAACAGACTGCCCAGGGCAGTGAACCAGTGTCCATCCCTGGCATTATTTAAAAGGCATGTAGATGTGGAATTTAGGGACATGCCTTAGTGGCAGGCTTGGCACTGCTGGGTTAATGGTTGAACTCAATGATCTTAGAGGTCTTTGAGGACATTAACCATTCTGTGCTTCTATGACATTTGTCAGTCTGATCCCACACACAACTTCTCTTTACTCTAAGAACCCTCCAAGTGTCCCAAAACACCCCCACAGTGACCTACACTGGTTTATTGGGGCATATATGTGTCCAAGGGATCAGTGTTGGTGCTATCACAGCCAGGCTGTCCCACAGACTAGCAAAATAGGGTTGTGGGGAGATGTAGTATCATTAACAAGATGAATTTTGACCTTAGGACACATAAGCATTTCCCTCTGTTGTAAACTTGGACAGAAGGTACTCAAGGAAGACGTCTGGTACTAGCTGGAATGAGGGTCTCTAGTGAAGGCGTTTCTGGCTGCAGGAACAGAGACAGGCAGCCAGAGAAGGGCTCCCAAGATCTAGCTAGACTGTAAAAAACCCATTCTAGGAGCTGCAGTATATGGTTCAGCAGGCAGAGAAATAAGCTGCGACGGGAACAGGACTGTCTTTCTTGAGGGTTCAAGAACATAGTTACCATTTGGGCAGGAGCAGTTCAAGGAATCATCAGCTCTGGTAGTCCTGGACTGACATGTGGCCTAACAGCAGGGAGGTAGGGAAGCAGGAAAAGTGGGGCCAAACCTTGAAAGAAGTGAGCATTTGGGAAGTTTTTCAATATACTAGGGTCTGGTAGGGAGGTAGAGGACTCAAAGGCACATCTTAAAGGACAGTTTGTAATAGAATATCACGAGGGAATGGGGAGAGAAGGGACAGTAAGAAAGACAGATCTCATTCCACAAGACTTTATGGAGACCCAAGGAAAAGCACTTGACTCAAAAATCTTATACTGCACATTTCAAAATATGTGTTTACACAATGATAAATGTATAAACAAAAAGTCGATGGAGCTACTGCAAATCCAAATAAAAAAGTGGCTTAATTATATGTGCACCCTTTAAACCCACTGCTGGCAAGATTATCATATTTGTATTAGCTAGATTTGTTTTGTGTTGGTGGGAGCAGAGAGAACATCAAACAAAGGCTGCCTGGAATTCAAATATTGTCAGGGTCTGGAAAGCTGCATCCAGGCAGTAGTTTGCAATGGACAAAAGAGCACAAGCTCTTTTGAATATACATAAGTATATTCTTGAAAATAGTGTGTTCTGTGTCATGGCTGTGAGAAAACCTGTACAACAGCCAAGTTCTGTGCCCTCCAGGATCTCCAGCACACGAAAAACATCCCAGCTCTTTTCTGGTGTAATCATTTCCTCTTCTGCTATGACCAGTGCCTTTCAGAGTCATAGAATCATGCAATTTAGGTTGTGATGGACCTTTAAGGTCATCAAGGGTAACCATTAACCCAGCACTGTCAAGGCCACCACTAAACCACATCCTTCAACACCACATCACTCTGTCTTTAAAATACATCCAGGGATGGCAACTTCACCATTTCCCTGGGCAGCCTATTCCAGTGTTTGACAGGATGAGGGGACTCATGTTAAACTCTCACTGTGGGAATAGAGGAGAAGAAACTCATGTTTTTTACATGCTTTCTGGATCACCCATGACTGGTCATTATTGAAAATAAGATGCTGGTTTAGATGATCCCTTGATGTCTTTCATGGCAGCCGATTTTGTACTCTCCTAACGACATACTTTCAATCACAGAGCCTATTCACTTTGGCATTATTTCAGATTTACCTTGAATGAGTAGCTTCCTCCATGAAAAACCTCTGTGGTGTGTTGTGAAAATGTCCATTGACCATTATTCCTTAGGAGATATGTTTAGACTTTGAAATTACTCCTTGTATTACTACAACACTCACAAAGCATGTGATAAGATGCATAGAAAATGTTTCACATAATGTCTGAGCAAGCAAGCCTACAACACTAGCAGCAATTTCTGAGTAGCCAGGAGATATCTGAAGCCTAACATTAATTCTCCTGCTGGCTTTTGTTAGCATTCAGAAAGCCAAATGGAAAATGATCATTCTGCTTCATAGCAGGATTTCTAGTCATTGAAGTATATCTTTTTTCTGCCTTGGAAGGAAAATGAAATATTTCAAAGTTCTCAGAAAAAAAAAAATAGGCATTAGAAAAAGTGTTTGGAACACTGAAAAAAAAAATAGAAAGGAAGTATTTTGATCTTCCTGAAGCAAAAGAAAAATTGTGCTAGGAAAAAAGGTTCTGGTAACCCAGAAGTCCTAGAGGCTTTGGAGTTATTGGCTCAGCACAGTGCCTCTGTGCTGGTATCTTCAGGCCTCCTAATACACCTGGTTTCCTCTGTGTCCCACCTCCAGGAGAGTGGATTCCTGGGAATATGACCATAAGTTCATTCGTTTCCATGGGACCTAGGGGCTCAGAGTTCTGAATCCAGGAAAATCTAATAGATGAGAGACAGCATCCATCATACCTGGCTTTAACCATACAAAACTTAGACATCTCATTTGAACTGCAGTCCATGGAGTGCAATAAGCTCTCCCCATGGGTAATTCAGACCAAGAAAATTATAACACTCTTTGCTGCCATTTTAACAGTCTTCCATCAAGGGTCAGGTTTATCTCACACAACAATCCATAATTGTAAGGCAATTAATTTGACATTTCTGAGAGTTTGGTTCAGGTTTTACATTTCTCCCATCACTGCGACAATCTGGGTGAAAAGTGCGTCTGGCAGTGGGTCTGCTACTCTGTTACCTTCAGACAGGGGCTAGAAATGAAATTTTATTTAGGCTTTCTTCCTTCTTCCCCTCTCAGTGCCTCCCTCCCTCCCCCTCTCTCTCCTTGTTGTAAATCTGCACCTGGTGTGGCTACAGCAAGAGATCTCAAACGAGGGATGAAATCCACAACTGGCATGCACCACCACCATTTGTTTTCCACCGTGGCATCATGCCAGTTTTACTCCAGCTACAGATCTGACCTCTCCAGGGGGGTTCTTTGTAAGAAGAAAATTGAAGAATCCCAATAAATATGCCTAAACTTCCTCAGACATGCACAAAACAGCAAGCGCAAATCCCTTGCTGCAATTTTAGAAAAAAAAAATTATTTACATTTTCTATGCAAATAAAGGAGAGATCCAGAAAAGCAACTGAAATTTTAAGTAGCCTTTGTGATTTGAAAGCTGATGGCATATGCTAAGAGCATTGCCTTTGGACTTCAGTTGCCACTGCTGGCTCCCTGTACCCCCACAGAGAACATTTTTAAAGGCCAACACCATTTAAATAAGAAAAGGGGAAGCAGCAGCTTGTCTGCTCAGGGTATAAGAAATGAGCTAAAGTACTGTCTTTTTTTTTTTTTTTGGGCTACTCAAATCTGAACATATTAAAATACTTCATGCATCTCTAGCAGCTTTCTTAAAGCACCAACACAGATTTAAGCAGTGGTTAAAGGGTGTTATAGGACTAACCCATCATGGAACGCTGCAATGGTGAAGAAAATATGTGCAATTGCCTTAAAAGAGAGGTTACTGCAAAAATCGTTCTTTCAATCAGTAGTATGCCCTGACACAGAAAGGTATTGTTGAAGATAAAATAGTTTAACTTCCCATGCACACCTAGCAAGAGAAAGATACGACTTCAGGCTCATTGAAAACTCATTTTTGGTCCCTGAAATCATCCTGAACATGTTGCAAGAAGAACAGACTGTCCAGTCATATTACACATACATAGGAGTAAGACAGTGAGGTAGCAGACAGATTTAATTCTCTCCCCAGAAATTCAAGAATTCTCTACCAGTGGGTGACAAGATCCCACTCAGAACATAAAGACGAATTGTTTTTCTGAAATAGCAGCATTACAGTCCCCCACAGGTTGCATCTGGGAAGAAGGAAAGAATAAGATTCCATGAAAGGGACAATTTTAGTCCAAATTTTGCCCCAGTTTATTGAGAGATATTTGTTAAAACAGTATGAAGTCAAGTTTGGACCAAACAGTAACATTTAAAAAATGTATCACTGGCTACCTTTAGGCTACCAATAAACTTGACAAGTCTTTTAAGGATCCCTAGTGCTGAGAAAGTTCAGAATGAGTTTGCACATGAAAGGTGTATTCATGAGAGAGTGCAGACAGAGCAGTCCAGGAAATCAGTACACCCGCAGAGATCCAAAGGGAATCTGGTAGGTACTGCTGTAGAAAGCTGGGGCTGAGTTTCTGGAGGTTTTTCAAGCTTGTCTTGAGTGCTTTCTGAACAAGGGAGCAACTGCAAGCAGTCCTTTTATTTGCTCAACAGCTTAGGAGCTTTTTCACTTCTCAGTTTTTTTGGTTTTTATTTTGCGGGTGGTGGCCACAGCTGTTGTGTCAGCAGTTTTCTCCACAAAGTTGTTGTTTCCAGCACTCACCAGCTCTGCCCTTGTGTCCTCCTCCTTTTCAGGTGGAAGCACGCCTCCTGGCATAACTGCACCAGCTGTGCCTAGCATCCCATCTCCAATTGGGGTGAATGGTTTCACTGGCCTCCCGCCGCAGGCTAATGGGCAGCCAGCTGCTGAAGCCGTGTTTGCTAATGGCATTCACCCTTACCCAGGTAAGCCAGACTAATCCTGTGCCCACAACCTGTTGCCTCAGTCCTAGGGATACTGTCCACACTCACAGGCTTTGCCCAAAAAAGCCGTGGCATAGGTTCAGAAGGGTTACACCCCACACCACCAGGGCTCATTATTGCATTGGTGTATTGTGTCTTATGCAGCTACAGTGTTAAACGGTTCAATCTGGATGACAAACATCAAGGGCATGTTGGAGGTGGAAAAACTGGGTACTGAATATTTGAGTGCTCATCTGCTGGATAGCGTGTCTGGTGAACGCAGTCAGGACAACCAGCATGTTTTGCTTCAACTGAAAACTGACCTGACTCCCGAGCAGTCCATGCTGGCAGATCCCCTCGCAGTACTCCCAAGGGTCTTGCTTCTGGTTAGCCTTGAAGGAGCTGTGCTAAGCCTGTTTGCACCTAGCACTGGTATCTCCTGCTGGAATTCCCCTGCAGCCAGATGGCTCTGGGAGGATGATCCAAAGGTCCATGTGCCCGCTGACCCAACCGGCTTCCTGTGTGCAGGGAGCAGCTGTTGACCTCCGAAATGCCTGCTGCACACAAATCCTGCTGCCTTACCAGGCCTGGGGAGTGAAGCTGCATTAATATAGCCTCTGAGTGGGCTCAGGGTCACCCTGTGGTGGCACACTGCAGGAGAATTGCTGCTGGGATTCACACTGTGCCTAGCTGGAAGATGCCAGCACTACAGAAGTGATTTAGCAAGCACTGGCAATCAGAGATGGATGAGGGAGGTTAAAGGATCCATACCTGCCCCTATACCTGTATTTACAAATATACATACAGTCTAAATCTGTAATTACCAATTACCATTCCTTAATGTGCACTTACATTTTTTCAGCATCCTCAAGACTTGAGATAGCTCTCTCCTCCAATACACTTCCTCTAGAAAGTCATTTTATACCATTCCTGTACACATACTAATGGTAACAATCATAGCAATAAAAAAACTAAGTAAATGTTACTAATTGATCCTAATCACCAGCTGGCAAAGGAATATTTTACCCTGGGGAACTGATAAATTGATCTAGTCTGTTAGGAAATCAAATACTGAGTTTAATGTTCCAGCCAAAAAACCCCAAAAACTCTAAGAAAAAATAATTAGTTCAATCTTAGCCAGTTCTGAAAACTCAGAAGATTCATCGTCATAGGGGAATTTATGAAAAATACCATATAGTATAGAAATACCAAAGTCTTACCTAGGTATTGACAAATGATTATTCTCCTCCCAACAAACACTTTGCAAGCATGGACTTTGAGTTCAACTCTAATCAGAATTAAAATCAAGGCACTTACTGTACTCAAAATTAGGCATGTATATATGTGTTGTAGCAGCGTAAGGACAGGGGAGATTTTGGAGTCATCAGAAGACTGCAGAGAGCCCTTAGAATGTTCAGTGAGTTCAACCACAACACTGAGAAAGCATTCTGTCTTTAAGGTTGTATAAACATGGCCATCTGTTCTTCTGTCCATTTATTTCAGTTTGCCTGTTTGCCAGTCAATCATTTCTCTGTTTATTCATCCACTTCTGTGTATGTCTGTCCTTTTTTTCTGGTTTATTTAGATCCTTTTAGCCAATTTCAATGATCCATTACCGTGGGTACAGAGAAAAGATGTTCTTTCTAGGTGAATCTTAATAGCTTGAGCTTTTGTTGCAACCCCCAACAATCCCCATAATTAAAGAATACCTCAGTTAGGTATTTCATCCATGGATATATAAATGCCACTGGCCTTAATCTGATTCTCTCTGAGTTTCAGAGAGACTTGCTCAGACAGCAATTCCCAGTAAGTCCCTGCACAAACACCAACAGGCTGACACACAGAAAGGTGTTATCCTGCCCCTCTTTGCTGCAGGCAACAAGACTCCCTTCTGCCAGCAGAGCTGACATCCAAACAGTCTGAGCTGTGTAAAGTTTGGATTTATCTCAGGGTAACTTCAGCAACATATTTGTCTTTCTCATTGCTCAGTTTTCCCCATAATGTGGTGACACCTTAAGTTATACCAGAGGTGTAAAGGGAACAGTGCCAGGTCAACCACCCACCTCTCATTATGCTTTTGTCTGTCCCTGAAATGCTGAAAGCAAGTCACATAGCTTACATCACGGGTTTGCTCCATCTAATTGTGTTCCTTCTCATGAGCATTTATGCACTCTCCAAACTTCTCCTCCTTGCCACAGGCTTTATTCAGTCCTGGAGCTTAGCAGCATGAAAAATAAAAGGATTAGACATTTATATGGGTAATGAGAACATCCACGGCCATATTAGACTGGATAAAAATGTAGATAGGACACAAAACTTCATGTTTTATGATATAAGCCAGCCACTAATTGCTTGGGGTTAGAAAGAAAATTTCATCACTGGGCAGCTTGTTCCATCATTATGGGATTTTTCTCACTCTCCTCTATTGCATCTCTTACTGCCCTGTGGTTCTGCATGGCTCTGTCCCTAAATGCAAGGGTAAAAATAAAATATTACAGCTGAGCAGGCAATTGCACTAACACTATAGAGAAGGGAAGATCATGACAGTCCCCTTCCAAAGCCAGCATCTCCCAAACAGCTTTTTTTTATGGTGTATCTCTCATTCTGAAAGTGGCTAAGACTGCTGCTGTATTATGTACATAATCATAGTCTTGCTATGATTATGACTTGCCATATATTGCTTAAATCCTGAATATTCCTTTCAGATACTCCTTCATACTCTGCAAAAAAAAAAAAAAAACCTCAAATGTGGGTTCACATCATTATAGCCTGTAGCAGAATATTCTTTGTTGCCTGAAAATAGCAAAACAGGACAATGTACATCTCTAGAGGCATGACATCCATATCACTCAGACCCTCATAAATTCCATTAATTTGTGCAGTTTGTCTACCTGTTCACCTTTCTGACCAACCATATTTTTGATGCTGCATCCAAAGGACTCCAGAATACCATAGTCTTTATAAAAACAAGAACATATTACATAATTGTATTTAGTCTATAACTCCACTCTTTTTGCTTCTGTCTTCTCCTGTGCTCTTTTTTCAAGATTCCCTTTGACTGGAGAAGGGATGTACATGGTGTCACTTCAGTCAGATTACCAAACCATCCATGCCTTTGTGGCAAGTGGATGAAACTTTGAACATCCCTACTTGCCAGGGCTTTGATCACGGCCCCTGTCCCCGCAGGAATTAGCTTTCTCTGTTAATCTGGTCAGGCTATGGATCCATGCCATGGCACTAAAAAACCATTCCTAGCAGTCACAACCTTTGCAAGCCAGGGTCTCACCTTCTCCAAGTACATAATGCCTCAGTGCATTTTTTGCCACAGAGTGAATAACAAGGCAATAAGTATTCCCCCTTCCACTAGTCTGAGCCCCTTTGGAGATTTGACCTTTTTGTGTATTAATTCCTGCCCTTTAATCTTTCAGTTTGCAGAGCTATTGAACATGGCAATGTGTCACAATATATAGTGGGGACAAAGAGCATAATCTGTTGTGCCATGATCTTGTGAGTCACTTTGCAGCAGCACAAGAGCGTTTGCCATTTCCACATTAGTCACAGTAGCAGGGATTGCACTCTTCTGCCAAAGCTTCTTAGCCACCCAGAGCCTCTCTTGTAACCATGTGTGATGTACAGTAACAGTAGACACCATCTGCACTGGCTTCTGCTGTGTCTCACATCATCAGAATTCTGCTCTCTGCTAACAGGTCCTGCCCTGCTGAATTACATTGTGAGGGACTAGACAAAATTCTCACTCAAAGATAAAGCCTCTTTGGTAAGAGAAAGGGGACGTAGAGATGAGAAAATCAGGAGACCAAAGGGTAGCAAATGAGAGAAAAGGGACTGGCTGTCCAAGAATCAGTGAAATTAGAGAACTGGAAGAAGGAACAAAGCAGAGCTCCCAGAAAATTGAAGACTGCTCCATAATCTCCTGTCCACTGATGTGCCCAGAAAGAAGTGGAAATAATGGAAATACACCACATAGCATCTCACACCCTTTCACTTCTCCTGGGCCAAAGGATGCCCAACTTGACCAGAGCCAGGGATGGCCCAGCAGTTTGGCAGCTTTGTGGGGCCTTAGATGGGGAATGCTTTAATGAATGCTAAGTTCTTCAGCTTCCTCACAAGGGGAAGCAGAGGGGCAGACACTGATCTCTTCTCTGGTGACCAGTAACAGAACCTGAGGGAATGGCCTGAATTTGTGTCAGAGGAGATTAAATTTGGATATCAGCAAAAGGTTCTCTACCCAGAGGATGGCTGGGCACTGGAACAGGCTCCCTAAGAATATCGTCCTAGCACCAAGCCTGACAAGTTCAAGAAGAATTTGGACAATGCTCTCAGGCACATGATTTGACTCTTGGGGATCCCCTGTGCAGGATTTTGATGATCCTTATAGATCCCTCCCTAATCAGGTTATTCCATGATTCTGATTAAGTGCATTTGGTCTGGAATTAGATTGCTGAGGAAAAAAAAAAGCTAAGTCCCCTCAGTTCTTTGTAACCCATTAAAAGTGTGTCACCTCATTTATTATTTTCAGGCTCACAGTGGTTCTGTTTCTGACCGCTCACCGCATCCAGGTCTGGCTCTGTCATTCCACTCTGCAGACCCAGCACAAGTTTCTCCACCACCACCCCCCTTTAGCACACAGCACATCTGCGCTAGCGAAACAGCAATCTCCACTTCATACCCTGTACAGGGTCCAGCCTCTCTGGTGAGGACTAGCTGTCTGTACAAATGGACAGTCAAGCTTTTATGCCCACATTTTTCCAAGTCACCACTGAGACAGTCAGTAAGGTGTGCCTCACAGGGGAATTCCTGTTCTGTAGCAACTCATGACTTTGTAATGAACAAAGATCATCAATTCATTTTCCTTGGTTCAACAAAGAGGTTATCAGGAACCAATTTCACCCACTGCCAGCAGAGACAGCATTCAGACTCCATCTCTATTTATTATCATTACCCAGGTTAATTTTGGAGCTTGTCATTTAACAGTGCTGCTGATG